GCAAGTGTGCTTCCCAGAGTCTTTGATGCCCACCTTCTCCCAACTGTGTACCTTACCAGCCTCTCTTGCAGCTAGACGCAGCCAGTGACACAGTTCTGACCCATTAGATGCCAAAAAGAGTCCGGGACACTTCTGGGAAAGCTTTTGCTTTCCTGATAAAAAGGGGCAGAGACCCAGCTGGTGCAGTCCTGGAAACCTGCTCCTCCCCTCCCCCCTTGAATACAGACGTGATATCTGGAGATGCAGCAGCCATCTTGAGACCATAACAGGACAGGTAATGGAAATGTGGCAGACAGAATGACACCCACCTCCCAGAAGTGCCCACATCCTAATCCCCAGAACCTGTCAGAATGTTAAGTAATATGGCAAAGGGGAATTGAGGTTGCTAATCAGCTGACCTTGAAATGGGGAGATCATCCTGGATTCCCCAGGTGAGCCCAATATAATCACTGGGTCCTTAAAGGTGGAAGATGGAGGTAGAAAAGGGGATCAGAGAAGAGCTGTGATGAAGAAAGAAGGGCAGAGATGCAGCATTGCTGGCTTGGAAGATGCAGGAAAAGGCCAGGAAGTGGGTTTTCCCCTTGAGTTCCTGGAGGAACACAGCCCTGTGACACCTTGACTTTAGAGACCCGGGTGAGACCCGTGTCGGACTTCTGACTTCCAGAACTGTGAGAGAATACATTTGCGTTGTCTTAAGTGGCCAAGTTTGTGGTCATTTGTCACAGCACCTCCAGGGCACTGACACAAGCCATATGAGATGCTGGCTTGCCCTTGTCGAGCAAACAAACTGAGGCCAGCAGCTGCCTTTCTCCAGACATCCTTGTCGTGTGAGAAGAATGACCCCATGCTGGTTTAAGCCACTTCAAGATGGACTATTTGTGACTTGAAGCTTAACACGTTTCTAACTGCCATCTGTGTCAGCCGGAGAAGCTTTCATTTCAAAATTCCTTTTGTGAGAGAGAAAAAGCATCACCAGCTAAAAATGTAAATTGAACCCTAGGACAGTACCCCCAAGGTCTGACGATGAACTTCGGGCGGCCCTGGGACCTTTCTGGGGAAAGGAAGGTATAGTGAGATCAGAGTCCCTTGAGCAATTCTCTTCATAAAACTTTCTCTTCATATAATGTCCTAAAGCCCTCAACATTCTAAAAAGGGAAACAGATTGTTAAGTAAATGTTTATTGAACCATAAAGTGGACCTATGACAAAAAAGTTAATTGCAATAAACAAAAGGGTTATCTTCTCTGGGCACTGTGGCCACTACATGGCAGGGTCCCTGGCATAACAGATGTGTTTGCAGTTGCCCACCTGATAGGACTGGCTGCGACTTCTCCAGTTTAATGGCCACTCGGGACTCGGTTCCTTGTGTCTTACTTTTTATGGCAGGCTGTTTATCATTGATATGACCTCTCTCTGACAGCCCTTTTTCAGAAACACAGCTTTACTGTAATGTCATTTCTGAGCTGAATTTTCCCAACCTATCTGATTGCTCACTTTACAACTGGGTTTCTAGGAGTGGGTTGCAGGAAGATGCCTTTGCTTACTCACGACGCGCAAGGAGACTGTGATCTGGGAAGGGACGTTTGTTGGGGACCTGCCTTGAGGGTCACTCGGCACCGGAGTGGGCAGCCGTTTGACTCTCGCTGCTCCCGGTGTGGTCTGACCAGGTTACGGATGAAAGAGATAGTCCAGCGCAAGGTCTAGCAGAGGCCCGGCAGGTGACCATTGTTCAGCAAACGTTAACTATTGAAATGCCCTTCTCTCCAGCACTCCCAGCAGCCCACGGGGTAAGTCTGGGGAGCGTTCCCACACTCCAGGCCAGGAATCCGAGGCTGAGCAGGATTCCATGACAGCAGGACAGCAGCCCATCTTCCCGCTCTCCCTGAGACGCCTCCCCGCGGCGCCCACGGCCATACCTGAATGTGAGCGGCCGGGGTAGCCCCAGGTCCCGTGTTCTTTCCAAGGCCAGCACCGTGCACCCGCCTTCCTCTCTGTCCTCACGAGAGCCCTGTGAGGGGCCTTGTGCTGCTCACACTCAGGACGAGGAAGCCACAACCTCAGGGGGCCCTAGTGTCTCGCCCACCATTCTGAGACACTTGGAGACAGGTGCGAACGCAGGCGGCCCAACGGCACGTTCTGGGCTCTCATCTGTGACCCCACAGCCCCGCTGGCCGCAGCACAGCCTTCTCTGGCCCCACAGAGTGCAGCGAGGTCAAGCGGGCTTTCAGCCAAAAGCAGAGAGGGTCCCCTCTGAGGGCCAGGCTCTGAGCTCAGAGAACCGATTCGCAGAAAATCCCAGACTGACGGGGAGCCCAAGAGAGGTGTGGGGCCAGAGAAGGGAAGCCGTGGGCACCCCAAGGCCCACCACGCAGGGCCTCCTGGGACTGTGACCACAAAGGCCAGGCCCCCCGCCCTCCTCCCAGGCTCGCCCACAGGTCACCTGCGCCCACCTGGAGAGACCTTCCCGCAGCCTGCCACAGTAGCCTCTGGGCACAGGCTGGGATCCTGGCGCCAAGCGAGAGTTTTGCCACTTGAACCCCTCTCTGGTTCTGACACCTTGTGACTCTGGGCAAACCCCCAACCTCTCTGTGCCTTGATTTCCTTCTCTGTGAAATGACACTTGTAAAAGAAGGCTCCTGCTTTTAAGGGAAGTTTTGGCCCAAAACACCGATCCTTTATTTTCCCGACTGGTAGGAACATATTAATTCATTTTATTTTTAAAGAGGCCATGAGTGAGATATCCAGAATGTAAAGAGATAAACATCCCATCAGGAGGGTTTTTGTAAAGAAAAGTGTCTCTTTCTGCTTTGAATCAAGAGAGCATCACGTAATCGTCAGACGTGACCCACGCCGCCTTGGCCCTCTGCTGGTCACCCAACCACATCTGTTCCCCACCCCATTCCTCCCTGTTGACAGGATTCGGGTTTTGTTTGGTTTGGCAATGGACCCGACTAAAAATATGCAATTTCCCAGACTCCTTTGCAGTGAGAGTGGTCAGGTGACATGGTCCCAGCCAAGGCAATGGAGGTGAGCTGCCCAGAGGGGCCCTTCCAGAGGGACAAGACGGTACAGCATCTCCCTGGCCCTTTATCCTTCCTGGAATGCCACGAGTCCCAAAGATGTGGCATTCACCTCAGGACCTGAGCCCACAGGCCCAGAGCCCAAAAGATGGAGCGAACCAGGCTCCCTGCCCGGTCTGCCCACCCCCACCTTCCCCGCCTAGGACAACACCCGTTATCTGCAGCTGACCCACGTGCACCTGAATACTAGGAGCTGCAACCCTGACCTCATCTTTGAGGAGTAAACACAGAAGAGGTTAGACCGGCCATCTCCCTGGAAATAACTCCCACCCAGGCCTGGGGGCCCCACCTCCCTCTTGCCTATCAGAGATGATTGACATCAATAGCATCCAATCACAGTGTTCTCTGTCTTCTTTGGGCACTGAAAGGCAGACACCTCTGTTCACTAATGTAAATATTGTATTTACTGGGGCTTATTTATTTATGCATTTCCTTAGTGGAAGCAGCCTTCAGGTTCCCTGAGGCGTAACATGACGTGCAGGCTGCGGCGCCCTGGAGCTGCTGTCTCCTCCTGAAGTGGTGACTGACGGAGATGGCACTCAGGCAGAGGGCCTCGGCGTCTCCGTCTGTGCAGTGGGGATGCCCAGACCGTGCCTGCCCGGTCCCGGGACTGCCCCCATCTCGGTGATAAGACCAAGGCTGTGGTCTCTGAGCACGTCCCCCCTCGTCCACTCTCCCCGTTCCGGCCCACTGGGAGGTCCCCACACTCCCCTTACTGGCCCTTAACCCAGGCCAGTGCCTGGAATACAGCTGCCCCAGCTCCCCTCCAGGCTGAGCCTTCACATCTCCATTCAGAGGCCCTTCTTAGGGCTTCCCCGAAACCCCCTACATGCCCAGTGCCCCATCCAACGCTCCCCCAAAGCCTGCAGCCGCCCAGCACAGTCCGGCCTCCCCGTGGACTGTGGGCTGAGACAGAAATGACCTTGCTTGTTGTTCACGGCTGTAAACCCAGAGCCGCCCAAGTGCTAAGCACGGAGTCAGGCTCCACAGACACTTGCTGCCCATGGAATGACTGGCGCTGACCTAGTGGGAGATGCTGTCATTTCACAGTGGTGGCTATGGAGGGCTGGGAGGTACAGCAAGGCCTCATTTTGCCACATCTGCGTTTTCTCTCCCACACACCATGTCCTTACACCTCCTACCCTTGGGGAAAGGAGGAGAGTGTCTCATCGCATTGGCCCCGGTGCTGCGACAGGAGAGATGCCTAACCCCAGGTGACCGAGAGTTAAAGGAAGGACAGCCTAAAAGGACAGGAGGGAGAAGTGAAATACTCAGAATTCCCTTCAGTTCCCCACTGCACTGAAGCCTTGAGGCAAGGAGGTGAGTCACTAGTTGGAGAAGAGGGAACCGCGCTTGGGGAGAAGGAACAGCAGGTGCAAAGGCCTTTGAAGAATGGCGGGTTGTGGGTGTGTCGGGGAGCAGAGTGAGGAAGGCCGAGGCTAGACTGTGGTGGTTGTTGGTTTTTATAACACGGTATTATCGTTAACTCTGCTTATAATAATGATAATGTCTGTCCAGCACCAACTATGTTCCAGGTACTTTACCTACACCATCTCAGTCCCTACACACCCCAGGAGGTAGGCCCTACTATTATCCCATTCTATAGAGGACAAACCTGAGGGCCAGAGAATCAAACCGGCTTTTCCCAATACACCCGACAAGAAGGGGCAGAGCTGGGATCTCAATCCAGGCTCCTGGCTCCTCAAACGTTGTTCTCAAATGCCATTTTATACCGCGGTCCTTGCCCTTGGGCAACGTGAAAAGAGCTGTTTGTGACCCGGCGATGATGGATCACTCAGCTCTCAGCACATCCTGCTACGTAACGAAAGCACAAAACCTGTGGCACGTGAGGGCAGCATTTATACCCTGTGTCATAACTGGTCGGGTAGGCGTCGCTGCTGACGCTGGCTGGGCTACTTACATGTCTGTAGTTCTGCTGGGATGAATGGGCGTCTCCCATCCTTCCTCAGCCGAGCAGCTCAGGCCCTGCTCACACAGACAGCAGAGGCACACGAGGACTAGTGGACATGGGTAAGAGCTCCTCCAAGCTTCTGCCTGAGTGACGTCTGCTAACATCCTATTGGCCAAAGGAAGTCACATAGTGAAACCCAGACTCCAGGGACAAGGAAATCTACCCGCGTCTTAGTAGAAGGTGCTACAAAGCACTCAGCAAAGGGCTTGGACCCAGGGAGGGCTGAGGCCCTGAGGCCACTTATGCATTCCACCTGTCATAGGTGAGGAAGGCCCAGGCCAGGGCCAGAAGAGATGCTGGGTGGGGAGACAAGGGGGCCTCTCTGAGCCCGGGTCCTTCCCTGGGCAAAGGAAGAGTGACTTGTCCAGGGTCCAGCACGAGGCAGTAGGAGAGCTGGAGCCCTTGTCCAAACCGTCTGACTCCAAGACCCCTTCCCCTTGAGGTATGAGCCTGGGTGGATCACTAGATCCAACCAAGAAAAACAGAAACTCCGCTGAGTATTTAAAACAGAGAATTCAATACGTGGAACTGGTTGCTCTGATGATGGAAAACGGAGAAGCCAACCGTGGAGCCCGGGAGGTATGCACCGGCAGGAAGCTGCTGGCACCCTGGGGCCAGAGGGACAGAGAGGGGCCGGGGCTGGCAGAGCCTGCCCCTGCAGCAGCACCGCTGCTGAGCTGCTGAGATGGGAGCTGGTGGGGGAGGACTGGGAGGGGGAGGGGGAGGGGAGGGGAGAGGGGGAGGGGAGAGGGGGAGGGGAGAGGGGGAGGGGAGAGTGCCCAGCTTCTCCCTCCTCCGGCCCTCCCTCCCAGCTCTCACCAGCACCTCTCACCAGCCAGACCCAGCCAGAAGCCAGGGGAGCCTGCGAAATGCAGCCTCTCAGCCCCTGCAGCACAGAGCCAGCCAGGGAGGGTTGAGGGATGGGGCTGAGGGCACAGAGAGGGAGCCTCCCTAGGGACAAGTGGCCTCTGTCTCCTGTGTGCTCCAGGCCAGCGCACACATGCAAAGCCCTGGTTCTGACCCAGGAGAGCTGGGTGGGGCCTGAGACTCTGCATGCCTAACAAGCGCCCAGTGATGCCCAGGTTGCTGGTCTGAGGGCCACACTTCCCGAGGCAGCACCAGCAGGGAGCGGAACGCCTACAGGGAGACGCCCAGAGAACATTCGTTTAGTATTTACTGCAGCTGGGCTTTCCCTCCTCCTTCCAGCCTCTGAGGCAGGAACTGCAACGGGAGAGAAAATCAACACCACCAACTCAAGAGACTCACCGGGGTCACCCCTCTCGTAGGTGGCCGAGATGTGATGCCAGGAGGCCCCTCGGCCCGTTTGTTCCTGGGCTCCGGGAAGTGGCCCACAGATGGCCACGACCCAATCGTCCATCTCGCATACGCTAGGGGCCCAGCCTTCTCATTCACAATCTCAAATCCTCACGACCTGAAAAAGAAAGATCACCAGCTCCATTTTAAGTCGGAGGAAACCTAGGCTCAGGAAATTTAAAAACTTCACCACGGGTCCCCAGTGAATGAAGGCAGAGCCCTATTTGAACCCAAACCTGCCTAAACCCTCTGCTCAGGCATCACCCCTGACTCTCAGGCTCACCCTCCATCACTCAGCAGTACTGAATTCGCAGAGCCTACAAGGCCCTGTTGAAGAACGTGGGGCCTGTGATCCCCCACCTGGATTCAGACTCCAGTCCTCCCAGCCCTCCCAGCCCTGCGCACGAGCTGTGCTGCCTGGGAATCTCACTCAGGTGCCTCAATCGTCAAGTGGGGACAATGACATTCCTAACTCCATCAACGCGCTGGGAGGCACCATCCAGTTATCCCGTGCGACCCTTGGCACATTCACACTCTGGATAAATATCAACCTTGTTGTAAGTATGCAACATTCATGACGCTTAGATTCTGGTGGAGAGACACAACGCACAAATCATCAAAACTAGGCATTCGTCGTGTGACTGAGTGTCCAAGATTAGATTCCAAGAGAGTGTGCGTGATGGAACAGCAGCACGGCACTCTCCGAGCCCTCGCCCAGGCCCTGTGGGACTGGGTGCCCACGAGGCGGCCCGCTCTGTGGATTGCTCACAGCTCTCCCAGATGGGAGCATGTCCCATCTCCTCACCAAGCCAGCCTCCACTGCTGCCTGGGCTAAGACCTGGGGAGAGCAGCCTGGAATGTTTGGGGCCCAGACACCTCCGATGCAGAGGCGGCGACACAAGGCCACTGAAAGGTGGCCTCAAACCTCACTTCTCCAAACCGCACACAAGATGCTGGGCAAGTCTGTTTCTGAGAAGACAGGCAGGGATTTGAGCTTCTGGCGCTTGTTTGCACAAAGGATTTCGGCCTTCTTTCTCCTGTCACACAGCTTAAACACGTTAGCTGACCCTTAAATGGAATCCCCACGATGTCCCCCTCTCCCTCCAAGAGAATTTGCGGGGGGGGGGGGGGCGGGGGGGGGATAAAATGCATTGTGTCCCGAGGGCTTTATTCCCGGCACTGTAGACTCCATGCTAACTGTATCTTCTGGGTTTTTGAGTGTCTTTTTCTCTTCTCCTTTACCTTTTAACTAAAACACAACATAAAATAAGCGTTTTGATTGCATTCAGCTGTGAAGAGGGACGTACATACCCACCCACCCCACCTTTGCTGGCAGAGATCAAACGTGAATTTCTCAAAAAACAAAAAGTGGAAAGTTTACAAATACAGGACTCAAAATCTGCAACAGCACACCATCACTCCAAGCCAGGGACGTGTGCAGTCTGACATGCTTGTAGGCAAGCAGGCCTCCATGCTGTTTCTCTAATCCCACGTGCAAAGATGGTACCAGGGCCACTTTCTTCCAGAAAAAAAGAAAAAAGAAAGCCCAGAAGAGGCAATAGTCTCTGCATCAGCTCAGGTCCTATCAGCCTGGTTGGCAAACTGAAACATAATATTTTAGGCTGAAAGTGGTCAAATAGGCTGTTGAATTCATTTTCTAAAAAGTCTCACTCCGAACAAATTTATTCATTTACACGAAGTCTGAAAGTGCTTTTCCTTGTTGGGTGTCTGAAACCTGAAATATTTTCAACCAAACAAGAAAATGTTCGCTGTTGAATGGCCTATTGGAGCTGTCACAAATGTGATTTCTGGGAATAAACAAGATCGTAAGAAGGCTGGCCGGAGCAGAAACGTAAGTCAGCGTTAATAGGTGGTGTAACTAAATTATCCCTTAAGCCAAGGTGCTAAGTGACACAGCTTTTTGTGTGTGAATTATAATACAGTCGCCTCCCTGGGCCTGCACAGATCTGAATTGGACCTCTCTCCAGAATCACTAATTTTATTTTTCGGTTTCTATGTATCAAATAGCTCCCTCTGTTCTGCAGGCGAACCAAAGTACTTGAGACATACAAATTCATATTTTCTCCATATCATTTTACAGAGGTTCACTTGATACACACCTGGCTCCATAAACAATGTTTATTTTTTATGGGTTAGTATCTTGCTCAAGAAAATTAAAACTAAGTTTCAGGAAGCTTTATTTTCATTCTAACTATTGTTCGCTGGTCACTGCCACTCAGTACTTAGATGACTTTTTCCCCAAAGGGTAAAACATCTTTACAGCGGAACACAGTCTATTTAAACAGCTGGTTTTTGCGCAATCGTTTTATCAATGCGTAGATTCGAGGTATGAGTAGTCGGTGACTTGCTCAGTTTGTAAATTCATACAGGTATAAAAGCTGGCAGGTCACTCAATTAAATTTTTAGAGAGCAACGCATGATTCATTACTACCACTATGATGGGGTTATTGGTCTCTGCTGCATTTACATATTTCTATGTCTTTAAATAGGATTTCACATTTGGAGTGAAATGAATTCCTGCCTATCTCCCGGCCAAGGACAAATGATAACATTATTTTTAGGAAAAGAAATAGATCTTTTTTGTTGCTGTTGTTGAATTCCAGTTTGTTTAAAATAATTGTCAACATGCACCCTATTTCTTTTTAAATTAAAGAAAAGATACAGCAAATTATTCCATAAAACAAATTAAGGAATCGTGTTGTCCCATGAAGAATCAAAACATTGAAATTATCCAAAAATGTTTTAAAATCATTTTAACATTAAATATGTTGAACGACGTGCTCATGGTTATTGAGACTCTCTCTAGCAAGAGGTGGGGATAGAAAAATGTTTGTTTGTTTTTGAAATCAAGTAGAAGCTTTTCCCAGTTGGAGAGGAGGAGCTTCATTCCTGGGAGATGGAGGTTTAAAAGCTTTAAAAAGCCGGCCATACCATTTAGCAGGCGCTGATATAACGAAATACAATGCCCAGGGTGGGAGGCCCACACACATTCATCACTTTCAGAAGGAAAATACTTTTTTGAGAAGGTGAGACTCTGGTATCATTATCTGTACACTCCTGATTTTAATTGGCCATTTGTACGCATATAAGATTCCATGCAATACTGTAACATGTATATTCTTCGTGAATGTTACAAACAGAGAATCGTAAGTATATCGTTTACGTGATAAAACATAGACAGGCAACAGATAAAATTTTGAAAAAGCTGCTAAGCGTCTTCCATTTTTATTTTGAACATTTCCAGAAAGTATTTCGTTGAACTCTAGCTGGGTGATGTCTCAGACCATTTCAGGACGGTGAGACACTTGGTAGTTAACAGTCGCCTTAAATACTTTTATACTCTTGGATGGCTTGGCACGTTTCAGGCCAGGGCTCAAAAAAGTTTTTCTTCTTGCTTTTAGAGATCACTGGATGCACTCCGGAGAGGTGAAGGGGGTAAATCTCAGTATCTATCTTCCCCACCCCCACCCGTGGGTCACTCTAGAAGTAACATCGCCATCTACTGGACAGCAGGGGAACCTCCCTAAGAAGGGGAAGGTTTCTGTTTCGGCAATCCAAACTAGAAAGCTTACAAAATATATTTAAGATGTACAATGCCATAGCTTCAGGAACAGAAGAGCAAGAATAAAATACTCTAATCAAAAGTGCAGGAAAGTGGAAATACCCTTTTTGCACAAACTGGTCTGCAGCAATTTTGAAAACTGGTTCTACCCCATCACCCCATCCCCTGCAACAACTCCCAGAGAGGAGGTGAAAAAAGTAAGACAATTGCTATTTTTAATTTCTAAGAGTTTTTATATTAGTTATGAATTTCTGAAGCGAGAGGTGTTTTTTTTTGGTCACTAGTCAGCTCCCACCTTTTTCTCTGCACACTTCCTGGGGGTTGGGGACACGGGGGAGGCACACACACACACACACACACACATTCACACACACTCTCTCTCTCTCCTTTGGAGTTCTTTAACCTAACAAGGCTTTGGGAACACAAGAGCATAAAACTGGGATAACCCAAATATTATTCTAAACTCTTTTTTTCAGGCACTTAAGCAAAACAACTACCATTTTTGAAGTTTATATAACTTTTCCTTATAAATACAATCACATTCCAATTATACATCTGCATGATGTCGATTTCTGGATTTTCTTATGCAAGTAACAGTCCTGCTTTCCCCCCTTCTTCCTGCTCCTAACTGATCACTGGATTGGCCTTGAAATTTGAGCATTAATTGCTTTCTCTTGGTAATTAAAGTCAGGGTATTCTTTTCATGAGAGAACTACATTGTTTTACAATTTCCCATACTCCTTGGAATAGTTTCACAGAGGAAAGGAAAGAAGTCAATTGTGGCCCAGAATATTAACATATGTTTTCTTTACAACCCTCCCAACACTTGACAAGATGTTCAGAAAAAAAATTTGGTAAATAGATAACATGTTAAATGAAAATTACAATTAAATTTATTAAGTATCACAATTCACCCATTTTAAAAGAGAAACATTTCTACTGAATTTTATTTTTCTTTATTACACATCATAAAAAAATTTTTAAGTGTCCTAGGAGCCTTAAAGTCAGGCTTTAAGTGGTATTACAGTCACAGATTACTTCATTTCATATATGTATTCATTTCATATATATATATATATATATACCAAAGTATTTACATTTTGTAACTTAATTTCTCACTCAATAGAGTTTGAAAGATCTGGACATTATAAAGGCAAACTCATTTTCTGCTGGAATGAAATGAGAAAATGAAAATTTTAAAAATTCATTTTATTAGGTAAATTCAGTAGGGACTCCCTGTTAGCCCCTGAAATAAACCAGCCTGCTTCTGTTTACTTTCTCCATCTTTCGGAGCCTTAAAATGAAAATTGAAGTCACTGCAATAGGTAAGCATACTCCCCCTCCCCTTCCTACCCGATGTTTGTGTAGAAATTGTAGGGTCTCTTCTCCTAAAAGTTGAGAATGGTGCTGAGGGCTGACAGAGTGAGTTCAGCCTAGGAGCCCCGCAGAAAGCTCACTGGTAGAGAAAGAAAGGGGCAGCGGGACGGGACGGGACGGGACGAGCGGGGTCAGAGCCACAGGAGAGACTGGAGTACTCACAGTTTCCAGTGACTGCTGCTGTCTCTCTGTGTCCTGGTCCCGATTCCAGAAGGAATGTGGCTCTTTGTGCAGAACCAGAATGCACATCCAGGAAGCTGGCAAAATCACTAGCTAAACAATCAATAGAGGAAACACAACAGATTAAAGTACCAAATTTGTTTTTTTCTCCAATAAAGGAAAAGAAAGTGAGCAGAGGGGAGGGTGGGGAAAGAAGACATGTTACAATTTTTTCCTGTGACCTGAGCTGGGCCCCAGGTTAACCTCAGTTCAAATTTGGATATGTGTTCTCCTGCACCCGCATAATATAAAAGGATCATTCGACCGCCTGCAATGGACGCAGGCTTATCGCAAACCCTGAGGTTCACTGTGTGAAACAGTCTGAGTTCCTGCCGCAGATCTGAAATGAGTTTTCCTATGAAAATACACTTTAAAACTCAGCGACCCCCGCCCCTAACGAATGCCTCCAGTGACAGGAAATGTTAACCATTTTAAGCACTTTTTATTTGCATTTGCTCTGAAGCTGAGGGAGTGAGGGGAGAAATGTACATTTAATGATTGGTCGTGAAAATCAGATCATGGAGTGAGCGTGGATCTGCATGTTTCTGAGCCGGTTGGGGGGGTGGGGGTATTGAGCATCCTGGGTCCTGAATTTGCCCAGACAAGAGTGACTTCGCCCTGAATTCCCACAGAAGCTAGAAAGCGTTTGCATATATAGCAGTTGAGCCGTATTTCAAATTCTCTTGCTCTGTTGATAAGTTAAAGGCAGTCCCCTTCCACTTTACAGCTGGGGAGTCTACAGAAAAGTGCCTGTCTCACACTGTTTGTGGCACTGAGATGTGTTTGTGCGAGTGTTTTCTCCCTGGGATCAAAAGGGGAAAAAAAAAATTTCCCCCCAACTCAACTAAACACTGAAGCTCAGAAACACACGGAATGTGTATAACATTGTCCTTCAGAAATCCATCTTGATTTTTTTAAAAAAAACTCCTCTCTGTGATCAAAAGCCGACAGAGAATTACATTTTTCTCTATTCTGTTGCATTTAACGTGGACTAACACGGGGTGAGTTTAAACAAACAGATGGCCTGGGTATGAATGCTTCTTTCAGTTTGAGTAGCTCAAGGTGGGCTGGATCCATGGGGGGTGGGGGTGGACCGCAGTCCGGAGGATTAGTTGGAGGGGAGGAAAGCTGCAAAGTTGAGGGGGGAGCTAAGACAAGAATAAACCCATGATGAAAACAATTTTTAAACTACCTCTCTGCTTTGAGCCTGCGATCCTCCAGCAAGTGTGCAGTGTAACTGTTGAAATTCTTCTGCCTAAAAGATAAATGGCCTACTTGATTCAAGAGAGTCAAGTAGGAAAAACAAAACAAAACAAAAACTCTTCAAAGTATATTTTCAGAAGATAATCTAATGCACAATGAACGCCCGGTAAGAGGGGTGTGCAGGGGAGAAGGCCAGCTCCTCGTGGGAAATCCTGCACGACAGTGGTACTCCAGCCGCCTTGGGGTGGAACGGGGGCCAACTGAGAAAGGCCAGTCCTGGGTTGAGGGTCTTCACAGGGTTGAACTGGACCTACCCACCCCGCCCCCTGCCCCGAAGTCCCAATCAGAACGGCTGCTCGTGGCCTCCCATGTGGGAACTCTAAGCCACTGACCCACACGCCATGAAATCCCTCAGCCCAATGGGAACATACAGGGCTGTGCAAGACTGGGGCGAAAATTCTGGGGCGTGTGGACACTTGGAGGTCCCTGCTGAGAGCTACGCAATCTGCACTGTGTCTTCCCCATGTGGGAGGGCGGAGGTGCTAGCTGGTGCCAGTCTACCCGTGGGTGGGCCGGCCATGGATGTCCCCCTTGGTCTCAGAGACCTTCCAGAATCCTCTTCCTCCACGGAAAAAGTCTGCAGAAGAGGGACAGCCATCCTCGCCTCTGCCCCACAGCCTGGGAGACATCTCACGTCTCCACATCTCAGGTATTAAACCCCAGCCAACTGTTTGGACAGGGTCTGTGCCCTGGCTTCAGGGCCCGGTGGGTGATAAAATGCAGAGGGCGTCACAGAGAACCCTCTGAGCCGGCGTTCCCTCTCCCTTTCACTGCCTGCAGAGCAAGCATGACCTTCCCTCCGTGCTCCTTCCCTCTGGTGCTCAAGACGCCACTGAAAGGAAGGGGAGAAAAAATCAACAGGCCGTGTAGAGTCACTTGTCAGCAATGGCACACACCCCGCTGGGGTGCTTAATTAAAGGCCAGGCGATTTCTGCAGGATCAAACCAGAGAGAAGGAACCCAGACCCGGCCAGGCTGCTGTGTGGAAATTCAGGAGGCCTCTGGCCCGGGGACCCCACGACCCAGCGACCGGCCCCATGCTCGCAAACTTCACCGCGTCTCTCGAGTTCCTGGGCCCTGAGCTGTACCTCGAGCTCTTGGTGCTCAGATTCTAGCTTCCCATCCATGTTGGGGCAGACACAGCCCAAGCCTGGAGTTGGCAGGATCCCGACAACTTGGCGAAGGCAAAAGAGCCTGCAGGGGGAGGAAAAGGAAGAATGTTCTAGAAGGAGACAGAGCCCAGGCGCTGGGCCGAGAAGGCAAGCGACACCGACTTTTCTCCCTCACCTGCCCTTTCTCTGCAACACCGAAAACAAACCAGGACAGCAGAAACGTATGTGCATAAAGAATGCAGTGACTGCACGCACACACACACGCACATGCACACGTTTTATTTTCAATTTATTTATTTTAAATGCCAGACTATTTCTTCTTACTAAAGGCCTTTTCTCACACTGTTTTATCCCCTAGTTTCACAGAGCTTCCCTCCTTCATGTAAACGAAGGCATTTCCCACAGCCCTTTGGCTGGAATGTTCTAAAATGCTAGCATCGACACATTTCTATTTCATTTTATTGCAGAAAAGTTGTTTTATGGCACAGAGTGTGTGGCGTGTGTGAAGAACGAGCAAAGGAGGGGGGTTCTGCTGCGGAGGGGAGCTGCCCCGTGGTGCCGTCGGCCTCATATAAATCCTGAACAGTGACAGTTGAGCTGGCAGGAGAATTTGGGAAACCAACAGACAAAATATACAGTGCAGCCCGTAGGCCTCACCTTTACGAGGCAGAGAGAGCTTCTGGAATGGGTGGGCCAGGACCTCCGAGGCCACTCATTAGGCACTTGATGAATTGGACATGGGGCCCACTGCCCTCCTGGGGCAGTGAAACGCTCGAAAACCAAGTTTTATTAACCTAATAAAATGAAAGGGAAAAAAAGTCAGGAAAATTTCAGCTGGAAGAATAAACGCGAGGAGCGTAGCAAGTTAACCTACTTTTCATGTATTTAGAACCGTTTTGGCAGCTACGGGCAGTTCCCAAAAAGACCCCACATTCCTAACATCAGATTTCAGCCAACTGGCTATCAACTGGCCACGGCAGCCTAGGAGATCCAGGGATGCGTTGTCTCCACGGTCCCGGGAATGAATACAAGTCAGTACTTTTTCATCACGTTTAACGACAAAGCCAGGGAGGGAGAGAAGGAAAAATGGCAAAGCAAGGTCTTCAGGCGCAGACAGGGGGTTTGGAGAACGAAACGGACGCTGGCTGAGGTCTCGGGAATGCCGTCGCACCCAGAATCAGGGCTGCTGCCTCACAGGGGAGCAGTAACGAATTGGAGTAGTTCAAGCACAGGCAGACGTGCCAGGCTCTATTTTACCCACAAACGCCTCCAGGGACCCTCAGCTTGGGCATGGGGGCTGTGAGGGTCCCTTCTCAGAGACCAGCCCAAGCCCAGCCTTTTCGTGCTCCTGGAGCCGCTCGGGGCCATCTCAGTGGACCTGGAGCCTGCTTTGTCCAGGGGCCTGTCCAGGCGACCACTCCCCCCCAGGACGCAAGGGAGCTTTGTTATCTGTGGGACAGAGAGGCACAGGGTGCTGGCCAGCCTGTGTTCACACAGTGCCCCTGCACAGGGAGGAAACATTTCGGCAGCAGATGCTTCAGCAGGACTGTGAAGAGGAGGCAAAGATGCCTCCTCCCGATTCCCCACTCGGTGTGCGGGCTCAGAGCCGGCCTCGCGGCACCATCACCCATGGGCAACGTGTCGGCAGCAAACGTTCCATCAGCCAGAATCAACAAGCCCCACCCCAAAACCTCACCTCCTGGTCCTACTCAGCGGGCCGGCCCACACCTCCCCATGGCCATTCCTTTTTTTTAATAACACACATACACACACTACTGCCACTATGCATGTGTACGACCACTGTCCACTCCTCGCTGGGCCCAGCTCCGGCCTCTGGGCAAGCCTCTAACACACACAACCCGGCCCTCCTGCGTGCAGATAACAGGATCTCATCTGCACATGCTCCTGCTATCCAGTTCCTAGGGTATTTGTGCAGCTCTGAAAGGTGGGATAGCTCTGGGCTTTTTTAAGTTGCTTTAAAATTTCATTGCTACAGGGGATTTCTAGGGCAGTGAAACTCTTCCGGATGATACTGTAATGGTGGATACATGACATCACGCATTTATCAAAATCCACAGAATGTCCAGCACCAACTACGGACTTAACAATGATATATTGATATTGCCCCATCAGCTGCACCAAATGCACCACACCCATGCAAGACATTAGCAAGAGGGGAAACTGAGGTGATGGGGTAGCAAGGAGATGGGGACTGGCCTTTCTGCCCAGTTTTTCTGTAAACCTAAAACCACTCTAAAAAATGAAGTCTACTAATAAAAGAAACCTCGCTGCCAAAGTGATAGAAGGAATTTTCCTTCACTGCTCTCTTCCCCGTTTGGTATTTCCTGGGAAAGCAGAGAAGTTCAGAAAGTAGAAAGTTCAAAACAGAACAAAAATCCTACCAGCGCACAGCTATTCCACCCACCCCGTTCAAGGCCATCCTGTGTTGGGTCCAGTCTCGGAGGACGTTTTCCAAGACTGGTTTCTGCAGACAGGGGTGGCCTGATGCTTCTGCAGTAGCGACAGTGATAAATCCAGGTTACTTGAACAGTATTCTCATTTATTTTTTATTTTCACACTAACGACCCATGGTTATGAGTGCAGTGACATGATCGCTGTTAAATACACTGAAATCCTGCTTTCATTTCACAGCTGGTTCCATCCAATTTACAGTCAAATGCCAGCCCATCAACCAGGATTACCACGGTCATTCTGCCCCTGCCCTCTGAGGCCAAAGAGAAGGGTTCTGAGCCCACCCGTGAGCCCACAAACCTGGCACGGGTTGCGCAGGAGAAGCCACCTTGGGGTGTAGACTCCGAGGTGAAAGCTGACCTGAGGAGCCTCCTGCCCCAGTGGGAGGAAAGATGGGAAGCTCACTGCCAACCTCTAGGGAAAGATGGGCCTTGTCCCTGTGAGAGAGAGACAAAGATGGGGAGAGACAGAGATAGTGAGTGAGAGAGAGAGAGATGGGAGGAAGGAGCAGAGAGACAGGGACAGAAAGAAACAGAGACAGAATGAGGGGTGTCTGTAAGCCAGAAACTCGGCCTCCCCCCTCATCCTCCCTGGGAGCTGGCATCTGTAGCCCCGGCCAACGTAAGCGTGGACGCAGGGCAGGCACTGCATTTACACCATTTATACCGGACCTGCACCCCCGCCGCTGTCAGCCCTGACACTCAGGCCTTGGCATGTCGGTTGCTCCGTCCTGCAGCCTCAGTGGCGCCACCAGGTGGTGAAAGCACAAACCCAGGTTCCCGCCCTCCAGCTCCGCTGCAGGAGCTTTTTACGAGGGTGGCCCCAGGATTTCAAACCCCATGCACACACAGAGGGAGACACCCAGAATACCCAAACCACCGGTTCCATTCTGCCTGGAGCCGACTCACACGCAGTGTGAGCCCACAGCGCCGCCTAAATCCAGCCGGCGGAAACATGGGGAGCAGACCCGATGTCTGGGGCCCCCAAAGGAAGGGGGCGACGAGGAACTCCAAGCTCTGGGTTTGTGATGTGATCGCAGCCTCTTTCCTGCCCTTTGCTAGCTCAGAGCCAGTTTTCAAACCTCTAAACCTGGCCCAAGCCCCTCACGCTTAAAATTATACTATAGGGTTGGGAGGGTAGAGAGAATAGAGGATCTCTAGCAGGAAATACACACATCCAGAAAAGAAGAGCCTCCTTAATATTCAGCAAGGCTGTGGGCATTGGGGTGGGGGTTACCAGGCAAGGACGGGGAGGGGAGGCGTGCCCGGGCACACCTGATCTCCCCATCGCCATCCTTCCTCAGAGTCACTTTCTAGACCGCACCACGGAGGTTTTTACGGCACTTCTGAACTGCTAGTTGGCATTGAAAATAAACTTCAGCTAGTACTACCCATAAACAAGCAGTAATTGTCAGAGCTGACGTTTACTGGGTGTTCCCAGCAGGCTGAGCTCAGAACCTGACACATGTTGACACGCTCCACCGCGCACTTCTGGGAGGCGCCGCTGGCACACCCATTCTGCAGATCAGAAAGCAGAGTCACAGTAGCTGTGTCACCAGTAAGTTGCTGAGCTGGATCCACAGCCCACAGCCAAGCCGTCTCTACCCACCTGTGTCAACCCAGGTGACGTGAGGGGCTGCCTCTCACTAAGCATGGTTATGAAAACCCAAGAGAGAAGGAAAGCAGATTTCACTCCATTTACTTCTCCATCAAAGTTGTTTTAGGAAACAGGAAGCCCAAGGAGAAATGTTGGGCCAGGGGAGACTGATGAAAACAGGCCCAATTGGGCCAAAGGCTAGACACAGGAAAAGCCAGCTCCGAGGGTGGCGCGTACCTTTGGGGCCGTCTCCTGGCGTCAGCCCTCCTGAGCAGCCTGGAATTGGCTGCCCAGGAGGTTGCTGCCCTTCTGCATGGACACTTCTACCAGAGAACGGACAACTTTCCAGCACACCGACGAGAAGCTGTACAAAGTAAGACAGGGGTGAGCACACAGACCTTGGGTCAGAAACACATGGTTTGGGTGTGTGAGCTCTTTCCCTTGCTTTGGGGCAAAGTGTTGGCCTTGCAGAGCCTCAGCTCTTTCACCTGCAAAATGGGGATCATCACACCTGGTCTGCATGTCCTCATGTATGACGTACAATCCAGCATCAGGTGGGGAGGAGAGGCCAGCAAGGCCATGTCACCAGGCTCAGGGCTCCCTTCATGCGGCCTCAGCAATGAGCACAGCTCTTGCCCTGGGGTCTTGGCAACACCTCCCATCCGCATGGTCCTACTGACCCCACAGGGCTTTTATCCTGACTACCCAGCAGTCTTCAATGGGAACATTCGTATAATAAAATGCTGACTGCACAAAATGTATGCAAACTTTTGTAAAATATCCAAATGCTCAGACAAAGGCTAACACACCAAAACGTCAAACTCTGGTGATGTTTAGACGATAAGATTACTGATAACTCTTTTTCAATCCATAATGTTTAATGTTTTAACTACTTGGATAATAAATAAAGGAAATTAGGAAAAGACAAATAAATACAGCTTAGAGGAAAATAGATGCCTTTTTCTCCTGAACGACACTCATTTCCCACGTGATCGGTGACAATCAAGGCCGCACAACCATGCGCCTTGTACATGGTGCTGAGGCTCTGCAAAGCCAAGCACTTTGCCCTGAAGCAACGGGAAGAGCTCAGACCTCGCAGGGGCCAGTGTCTGGCCCCTCAGGAAGGACCCCGTCCCTGCCCTGCCCCTGCAGCGCCCAGGCAGGGTTCTGGGTTAGGTTGAGGAATGCTCCCAGGCCTCCTGCTGGAGGCAACTGTCTGCCCCGACCGGGACCCAGTCCACCCTTCCCTTGCCATGGAACATTCACGCTTCCCTACAGCTTTTCTTTCTCCCTTTTTGCAATTATAGACAACGATGCAGCCACTCTATTTGTGCACAAAGTAGCCTAGAGCTCTGGATGAGTGCACGGGGGATAACATCCAAGCTGCACACCGCTGTCCCCATGAGCCAAAGCCAGAGCCAGCTGTGGTCTGGGATCTCTTTGTTTTAAGCTTCTCTGGTCCTGAGGATAAAGACCAGCCCGCGCTGGCAGACAGTGCAGCAGGCCCAGCGTCCCGTTCCGTCCCTCACACTGTAGGGCCCCTGCTAGAGCCACGGGACTAAAAATAACCACCACAAACAAATAAAAAGCAAAGCAAAACAAAACAAAAAGCACCCCAGCATCGAAAGTAAATTCACAGATGGAAAATCCGAGGCCCAGAAATTGAGGATGGGACCACAATCGAATGAAATCCAAATTGCTGGGGAGCACACTGGGAGACGCCGGC